CAACTTTGGCCGCATATATAAATATGAATTTAATCGTCTTCCGAAACCAATTTCGATTTCAATTTTGGTTTTAAAAATCATATAATTTATACAATTTGAGTATTTGCTATAAGCAGTATTGTTATATTTAAGACTTACATAAAATAAAGATACTTGGCGATAGGGAAAACAAAAAAAATCAGACTTTCGAAGGCATTGCAATACTTACTTTTATTTCGTCTTATTAGTAGAATAATTATACATATTATGAAAGCTGTTAACCCCAGCCCGAGAGGAACACCAACTGTGAAAGCTGTAGAAGGGATCTCTACTGGACATTCTGTGAAAATTATATCTTATTGTTTGTATGTACCATTTTGTGAAAGGATAGTCTACGTCTTTTCATTATGGTGTCTCTTTATAAAAATATATTTATTTGAACTGCCAGAATTTTAATTTTTACATTAAAAATATTTAAGTAATCATAATATTAGATTATTATATCACTTCTTGTTGCCATTGAAACTTAGTTGTATCACAGAAGCAACTAAGTGACACCGTTAATACAATAGCTTGGTGTAGCTAGTTAAACAAAATCAGTATAGATTTATCCTACCTCAAATCCTGAAAACTTTACATGCATTGCTGCATATAGATAATTTCAATAGGTTTTTTAAACATTTTTTTTCTAATTGCGCTCTTATCAAAAGACATAAATAGGCGTTAAAAAGGATTTGAACATTATCCGTTATGAAAAAGACATCAGTAAATTATTACGTGCAATTGGAATTAAATGCTGTTAATAATTTATAACTAAAAATGTGTGGATTTAATATAAGTGTATAAACATTTAAGAGAACACATATTTTTTATTGTACTACTAAACGTTTTATAGACCTATGTATATTGCTAGTTTAAAGTTTGATTTACTTTTATCTTTTTGATTTTTAGAGAATAAAATTGTGAATTGTTATTTAAGAATATTTTTTTTAAAGTAAAACTATCGATAGTTTTAAAGATATTTTAAAGTGCCAACATTAATTGCAAGGAGAAGGCATTTAACGTGTTATAACTATGGATGTTAAGTGGTATTTTTATGTTGTTAAGTTTAACAAATATAATAAATATATAATAAGTTTAAATCATAATCTGTATAAAAGTCTATTTGCTGCTATTAAAAGTAAAATAAGCACGATAATTATACACATTTCCAAAGGTGTCAAAGTTGTATCAATTCTGCGATCAAAAGGGAAATTAGACTCGCTTATTATTTAATGTTTGTTTGGTGTAACAGTTTGAACAGAAATGATACATTTTTATTATTCATGTCTCCTATGTCTAACAATCTGGACACTGTTGCTTGCAAATTACAAACAACGAAGTAATATTGATTCAATAGTTCGTCAGAAGTCATTAATGAATTTATTATCAAATCCATTAAATGAAAAGATAAGTAAACTAATAGCAAGCATAATCAAGAACATAGCTAATTAATATCTACAGCAATTATTGACTTCATTTTGATTGGTACATACTTATGCTATAAAACAATTTATTTTTGTTAAAAACGAATTAACTTTTTTTAAAGGCTTCACTAAATTCGGCTAAAAGGGATGATTAAACATACACACCCTTAGACAGAATAATATTATTTTTTTAATTTTAAATGCAATTAATCTTTTTCCGGGCTTATATGGATATATAAAAAAAACGTTGATGAAAGAGGTGTGTTTTTTATTTTTTGAATGTGTACTTATCTAGGGCTAAACTATTAAAGTTATATGTTGCCTTAAACTTAAAACATCATTTAAAACCCATTAAATGTATTATTATCATTACAACCTGCAATTTGTGGGCCAGTAGCCTGTGAACTTGAAAAGGTTATCGCAATCTTCTGCGTTGTTGTAGTGGCTGTAGTGGTTGTAGATCTGGGATCTGGTCAGGTCATCATTAAATAGAACATCAAAGTTGGTGAAACATGTTAAATATGTGCAAATTAAAATGTAAAGTTATAGTGTCCAAGTAAATACAGTGTCATTTTGTGTTTTTCTAAAAATAAACTGCCATCTTTTTTGCCACTGTAATTTGGTTGTTTCTATATCCGTTCAGTTTGAATAAAACCATTCTTTAAAGTTTAGAATATGTGGTATATTCTTTTATGAGGGAAATTCACACAGAGATTAAATGTATTTTACAGTTTCGGCATGAAAAACAGACAACAACAATATCACCCTGTATTTAGATTTATGTATTTGCATTTTTAAATTGCAAATTGTTAAAGAGGACATCTTTAAGGAATTAATAAAATTGAATTATAGCAAAAAATCGGTAGAAAAATTGACTGAGGAAGAGATCTGTCAAAATTTATTCTTCTGCCTGAATACATTTAAAATGTGCCAATATTTAAAATATTGTAATATACTTTGGAGAGTTTAAAGTTTTCTTAACATCAATGTTTGAGTAACTATTGAACCCTAAAAAAAAAAAAAAAAATTTTTTTTTAAATATATTAATATCAATGTTTAAACATGTCCACATCACATCTTTTGCCTGTCATCCTTTTAACATTTGTTTTCATAATCGACAGATTCATTTTTTAATTCTTTTTTTCAAGGCAGAAACTGTCTGCTTGTTAAAAGTGTTATTTAGAAAATTTCTAATACGCATCTATTAGTTAACAGACGTGTTGCCTATAATTGTGCTGTTGCCTCCCCTTCTATTTAGGTTTTTTTTTGTTTTGTTTTGGTTGTACTGTTAACAACAATTATATTGTCTCAATTTCGACGCGACCGGTGTTTCTCTTAAACTTATTAGAACATTCTTAATATAGTTTAATACTTTTCTAAACATATTTTAAACATAAGTCTCGATTCTAGGAACCACTACCCTTATACTACAAATTACGGCTTTTATATTAAGGGACTTACCATTGACTTACATAGCCCTACACTTCTTACACCATTGTGCATTGTGTGAATGTATGGATTAGAATGTCTGTCTTTCTGTCTTTATGCTGTTCCTCTTGCCGTGCTGTAAGTTAAAATATTTTTTTAAAAATTTTCTTCTATATTTGTAATGTTGTACAAATATCATAGTTGTTCGTGTAAAAAAAAAATTGTTACATGTGTTACGAACTCGTTTCTACCCGAATGTGCGATAGCCACAATCTGCCTTGGGGCTAATAATATTCACTTCACAAACCATTGCTCATTGAAATTAAAATACAGTATGTTTATTAACTAAATCTCAACTGTCATTACTCGCAAGACCACACTACAGAAAAACAATATGTCATGTTCCCTTTCGCTTAGTACGTTACAAAATATCAAACCCATAATAACAACATCTGCCCAAATACTCTCTGAACAACACGCAATCGCAATATACATTCAATTCCTTAACATTCCTGCCCCGCTTCGTTTAACATTAATTTGAAAAAAAAAAATTAATGTCACCCACAAATACATATCTCACAATTTGTCAATAAACATAAAAAAAAAAATTAAATATAAGAGTAAGTGCCAAGTATAGATCAATCAATTAAAATATTACATTTTAAATTAAGCGACATGTATATTAAATTACAGACAAAGCTATAACACATAGCCAAATCAACATGTTTAACTAACCTAGTACATTTTCAAAACAACATCCTAGATATGAAAAACTTCAATGCTAAACTTTATATTTAGATTTTATATAGTCTTATCAAATTATGAAAAATTATTACATTGATCACAAAAGTATTGTCCCGCACACAGAAATTGACCACAAAATAAACTCTGCCTGTTAAAGCGGAAAAAAAAAAATCTATGGACACATGTGGACATTCCCAATATGTCCAGTCCCGTATACATATTTAAAGAGGGTGGAATATTACGCCTGTCAGTCACCTAACAAAAAGAGTGCACATTTTTGCAGCAGCTCAACTCTTCCCTCTCAATTATCACTTGTTTCATCACACAATGGCATTTTGACACATTGTCGACAAAAATTTTTTTTTACATTTAAACTCTTAAATATAACAATATCAGAATCATAAAACATGTAATAATTAAAACAATCAGAGCAGTGACCACTCTCTTGAAATAAATCACGTATAAACAAAATCAAAACCAAACCTCCAACCAATGGAAAACACACACCTTTTCAAGAAAACGAAATATGGAGCTATCATGGTTCTCAAAATTTGAGAACTCCTGGCTCTCATTATCATATATCTCACACACACGTACATCCAAAAAATTGTTCTTTCCTAAACACATCTCAGGGAAAAATCTCACACCCTTAAAGTAATGTTCATAATCAGGATTTAGAACGTTAATCTCAGTGTCCCGAAAGTTCCCAAAATGCGACTAACCAGTGTCTTCCACACCACAAAATTAAACGACTGGACTACTACCCAAGTAGCTCCACGTAAGGTGATCTCAAACGACAGCCACTTTCTTGAACTTACGCCTCCTTGACGAGCTCACGACCTCTACTTCTTGATCTCCGTAGCTAGCCCTATTCGGAATGTGATTAACATTTCCCTCTGGCACAAAATCAACATCTCCTTGCTGTAAAACATATATCCCTCTTTATATTTATTTTCATCCCTTTAAGAGAAGTGTGTGAAAAAAAGAAACAATAAAATATGTATTTCTTAAATATTGTTCACCAAACACATTTAATATCAAAACCTTAGTCTTTGAGAGATCAACAATATAAAAAAAGTATTGACCTACCAAATAACAACTATACTAAGAAAAGTAAATCCTTTGTTAGTATTTATTCTCTTATGATTTCACTTTGCATTCGTCAAAATTTTGGCTGTTTTATTCAGACGTCAAGTAAATAAACACTCAACACACTATTCTCATGTGATGATTAAAGATATCATAGGCAAAGCGCAAATGAAAGACGTTCATTACTCTCTACCGAAATCATGATTCTTTTTCTCATTTGTATAACTCTTATAAAGAAAAAGCCGACGTTGATCTTCCTACTTTGACATTTCAAATAGTAAATATTTTTTCTTTCTCCTTAAACCATCTCAGGAACACGTAAAAAATACTTCTCACATCATTTATAATCAAAACATCTTAACACGTAGTACATAGTACATCTAGTTAATACCATAAGAATATTAATATATATATCTCTGAAATGTGTTATATCGATTTGTGGTTCATTCAAATTGTAAAGAACATTAAGACATTAAAGTTATGTGTATTTTGTAATAATAGCTTCCCGATAAATAAGCTAATAGAAATTTTCACAAATACCGTGCGCGACTCTTGTCGTGATATTTTCTTTTGTTTTACCAAATTAGTCTTAATTTAAAGTATTATTACATTATAAATCTACGGCATGAATTCGGGCTATACTTAAGAATATTTATACGTTTTAGGGGCGTGAAAAAATGTAAGATTGTGAGCTGTGTGTAGTGAGAAGTAAGTTAGAATACATAAAATGCGTTCCTTGAAGTTTTGTCAAGTAAATTAAATAGATGGGAAGGTGAGGCATTGTCAACGCAAAAGTTGTGTGAGCTAAAGCTAGTAATGGTATAAAAGGAACAACATATTTATAAATAGATTGGGATTTTATTTTGAAATATTGTGAGCGTATTTCTTACGCTATTCCTTTTAATATTTATAAACTCATAACATAGACAATAACGATTTTAAAAAAAATCATTACGTCAAACCATATGAACCAATCATATCAATCTAGATTATTAACAAATGCCATTTTATTTATTGATATGTCACATGTGTTTATTGGGTGGGTATTTTTCTATTTTGTTATAATTTAAATTTACAAATTAACGAATAAATAGTATACCCAATAATTATAAGGAGGTTGTATCGTAAACGGTACAAAAAAGATTTTAAAAGTTTAACTTTGTTCTTAGAGAGCCATACCACAGACTGATAGAAAATTGATTACATCTATATCATAATTTAATGGAAAGGGTTAAACAAATCTTTTGCACATGAACACATTTAACCAAAAAGTTGAATGGGTTAATATCTGAAAATTTCTATGTAGTTCTATTCTTACATCTCATAAATTTAACTGCAAACTCTCTTGATCATTATTTGATTTCTGTAACCTCGTCATACGGATGGTCTTCTTTGTCAGCTGAGAAAAAAACAACAAATAGATATTAAAGAAATATATACCTGCATTAGAAAAAAAAGCATACTTTTATTTATAAGAAATTATCTTGTCTTTATTTATTTCAGCCGATTTCCTAATCAAGATTTTGAGAAAAAAAGAACTAGTGAATCATCATTTCATCATCGAAAAATCTTAAATCTTGGTTTACTTGAAAAAAATCTTCACTTTGTAAATGCAACTAAAACAATAGTAAACGATTTCTCTTTAATGATTTTAAAAAATTCAAGTTTTTATTTTGAATGCCTCATTCTCCACACTGACATAAGCCTTTATTATCTTACAGGTGGTCTGTTCATTAAAAGGTTAAAAAGAAAAATATTAGATTATTTCACGAAATAAACAAAATATTATTTAGCTTTCTAATGATACAGTCAAGTGTATTGGCTACATCAGATAATGTACTGGGACAATATCTAATTGTGAATGTGTGATTCAGTGAAGTTAGTCTAACAGCTTATAAGATGAGATAAATCAGAGTTGGACAGGGTTGGTTTAGTGACACGGGTCAAAGTCAAAGGAAATATCTGGCACAATATATCGCAACAAAACAAAAAAAAAATATGCGTTGACAAGAAACATCTTCAAGCGAACTTTACAAACAACGATTGTAAATAAAATATGAAATCAAAATTTAAAAAAATTTAGCGTAACTGTCTTATCCTAGAAATATGATTGTGAAAATCACTAAATGCTTTGTCCCTGTACTGTTTGTTTTGTGCTGTGAGCATTTTTAAGGGGTGGGGGGGGGGATACTGCTTTTAGACATGGCCACATATGTGATTACAACAATATGTTTTAAAAAGTCAGGATCAGATACAAATTATAATTAACACTTAGATTAACTACTTTAAAAATAATAAATTTTAAAAAATACAAAAGTGATTTACATCAATTTATCACCGGGTAAATACATTGATTCTAAAAGTTAGTGTGTCTATATATGTCAAATTATTTATTAGGATACGAATGTGCAACCTTTTTTTTACAGAGTACCTATCATTTATTTCTAACTGAAAATATATATTTATATTTGGAAAATTATATTCACCAATTTTTTCAGCATAGTTATCATCAATTGTCAATAAGACAACAACAATTATTGGATAGGTTTACATTAATTGTTCTAATTGACATGCATTATGTTACAAGGATTCATGTTTTAATATATTGCTATGATGGCCTTTACACATTAAATCCTTTATGCGGCTACCAACAAGTTTTGCTATGTGATAGTGTGTATTAAATTCCACATGATATCCTAATTGTCTTATTGTTCAGTTTACTAGTTAATTTATGATGCATTTTGTACTCATGGAATAATTATTAAACCATTTCTTTTATTAAAAATTATGTCAACAAAGTATTTAGCTACACATTACCGCTTTGAATGATATTTGTTTTGACAACACTTTGGGATGGAGAAGCTGTTGTAACTTCATTTGAATAACTTGGACTAATGCTGGCTGTTTCATATGAGTGCAACTCTGTGTTGACATAAGGCGTTGCTATCAAAATAAAATGAGTCACATTATATGTATATACAGAGAGAGAGAGAGATTGATAGATACACATATAGTTAAATATATACAACGATATTTATTTATAAATATATACTTTTATTTTATAGAACAAATACATACACATAAATTAATGTATGATACATAAGTGGTTATTTGCCTGGTTATACAGACTTAATTTGCACAAATTTTACCTGATATATCATTGTATTCTCGTCTTTTCCTGGAATTTAAAAAAAAACACCTTATTTTGAAGTTTACTCTTATGTTATCAGAACTTGTAGATTTTCAAAAATAAATCAAACATTAGTTTAGTTCTTTATTTTTAAATGTACAGTTTATTTGTATTATGTCCAGTTGAGTACGTATTAACTAAACTGGTGAGCATTCATTCTAAACAAATTAATATAAATACGCTTACTTTGAGTTCGACATTTTCGTTGATGATTCACCTCGTTTAATTCCTAAATAAATGAAAATGATAAAATCAAATAATAATGCCTTCAAATTTTTATTTTTAGTTATGACACTTTCAACTAAACGTTTTAAAACGTGTATTTCTTTAAAAAACATGACATACAATGGAATGCAAATAATAAAGAAAGAAAGAAAATTATGCCATACATATTTATAAAACTTTGACAAATGTTAACTTCGGCCGCATTAAAGCTTATACACGTTTTTCAAAACAAATGTATTTAGCCACTATTTTAAGAATAGCCTTGATCCTTAACACTAACCAATTTACATTGCTTTTAAAATTAGTTTATTTCATGAAATAGAATATCTGTTATATGCAGTATTGTTAAACGCAAGCATTAAAAAATATAATACATTTAAAAAAAATCATTCTCAAGAAATTAGTTGCATACTTACTTTTAAATCGTCTCATTATGAATATATTTACAGAAATCGATACTAATAACACAAACCCGAGTGTAACACCAACTGCAACAGCAGCAGAATTGATATCAACTGGACTATAGTCATCAAAGAGATCTGGGAAAAATTATATCTTATGATTTTATACAATGATTGTGAAATAAAAGTCTTGCCGTTATTAAATTTGATTTCAGAAAATCATTTTAAGTCGCCGTAATGTTAATTATACATTATATTATTTTATTTTATTTAAAAAAAAAACAATTAAGATTACAAGATAAATATTTTTTGCTATTACGATTTAGGCTGTACTACTTAAGCATTGAATCGTCCCCTTTAATGTAGAAGTTTATCTTACCAACTGAAAGTAAGAAGTATTTTGTTCTCTTTTCTTAAAGGCTGCAAACTTATGCTACCCAGCCGCATATAGAATAGACTCTCAATAAAGGATATCAATTAACATTAAAGATGTTCTTTTTCAAATTAATATAAATCGTCATGATTAAAATTAAATAGAGGACTTTACCGTTCCCTGTAGATACCTTTATTTATTTAAATAACAAACATTTGGATTTAATATAAGTATATAAGGCCTACAAATAAACAATTAAAAATTTTTAAAAAGCATTTTTTCTTAATAGTATAACTCATAAATTTGTATGTACATATATTTTAAATGGCAAATTATTGTTAGATTTACATATACCATTTGATTTTTAGAAAATTAAATTCAGAATTATAAAGAAAAACTTACATAAATTGAATTTTTTTTTTAAATTGAAGATATTAATAGTTAAATAATAGCTTTAAGCATGTATTATGATAACTATACAGCAGTAAAACGTGCATTGAATCAATTTTTACTAAAGTTAATAATTATTATTTATATTGTGTAGCTATTGTTTTAAAAAAAAATAAAAATATTTAAATCATAAACTGCCAAAATTAAAATGCTCACATAATCTAAGAGATTCGGTAGTTATGTTTTGTAGACATTTCGACTCGTGCCAAACAACACACGTGCAATTTAAATCAGTCGAAGCTCGTGTCATATTGACTTCCAACGTAACTGTATCACCATCTGTAAAGTAAAAAAAAAATATTTAAAAAAACCACTATTAATGCTGTTGCCTTAAATGACATTAAACAATAAAATATATAATTATGTTTAAAAAATATAGAACTATATACTGTTAAATTGAAACAAACCCTGAAATCAAAGGTTTCGATAAAAATCTTGTATGCACATATTTTTTTTTGTTTGATTGTTTTTATTACTGCCATTCTATTGACCCTCAAACTTTAACAAAGTACATTTATTTGAATAACTGTTAAAGAAACACAAAAGAAAATATTTCGCACAAACGAACATGAGCAGTTTTTAAGAACCTCATTTAGTGCAGTTATCGCAAATTATAATTCGTGAAATCAGTATCATCATATCTCCTTTATCTTCAGCTAATATAAAGTATGTTTATTTTAAAAAAGCGAAAAGAAATGTTTCTTCATTCAATATAAACAAATTAAAATAAAATAAAATACATTTACTTTCTCATGAAAATAAAATGTGTCTTTTTTACACAGAAAATATATAATTAATGCTTTTTTTATAACAAATGTAAATACCAGTCTCGTTACGTTTAAATCTTTGGACAAATAGGAAAATAAAAAAATCAAAGCAATTGCAATGTTATGTTTCAAGAGGAAGAATATAAATAAGTTAATGTTTTTTAAATGTATCCTTCAATATTATTCGTGAGAAATTAAGTAAGAGATGTTTCGTCAGCAATTAGTGTTGAGGAAACGTGGCCATTTACTTGTAGATTAAAAAGATGAGTAAAACAAAAGAAATGCTGCCCACGTATACGACTTCTAATCCAAGTAGTATTTTTTCTTTATACCGTTTTTTTCTGTTTTGTTCCCCGAAGAAGGCTTTCTGCTGACACGTTCGTTGTTTTCTTGCATTCCTTTTAATTTCAGGTTTAACCCCACTTTGTTTTAATAATTTCATATTGTGCTAACCTGATTGCAATTTCACCCCTTATTACCCTTTTAGTTTAACCATTTACGAACAATTTCTGTCAATAATACTATATACGTTAAGCTTTAATATTAATTATACATTATACACAAGTGATCGTTTCACATATGCCTTTATCAGTTAAACAACACAAAATTTAAATAAAGATACATTAAATTTACCTTATATATGTACACATATATCCTTACTAAAAAGAAAAACAAAATTGGATAGGGCGCTAAAACCCTCTCCTATTTGATTTATTATTTTTATTTTACATTTTTAAATTTTTATTAAATCTGATCTTACATTGTTTTATTGACAAAACCTGTTCGTGTCTTATTAATCAATTTTAAAACTTTATAGCAGTCCAACATTTTGTATTATGTACTTGTAGTGTAAAGATGTAAAATAAACAACATTATAAAATTGTATCAATACTGTTATAAAATAACATAAGAAATAAAAAAAGAAATAAAATACATTTTTTAATCTTTAGTTAATTTCTCATTGAAGATTCATAATGTAATACAAAATCTATTTTTCAAATTTATAATCATTAGCGTGTGTGCCTACTTGTTGCGTCTGTCTCCATGGTGTCACACGCTAGTGACAATAGCTTTGAAGACGGAACACCTCCTCTAGACTGACACATGATGATAGCCAGATGTGATTTCTGGCTGGATGAAATCGTTTCTTTTTTAATAAGTTCGAAAATATTTGGACGCTCTGGTGGTCCTGAAAAGAAGAAACAACCATAACAAAGTGTTTTTAGTGCTTCTTTTAAATATGTAACTTTGTTTAGCTTTTTTTTTTTAAAGTTGATACTTTTCAAAAAAAATATATATTTCTATTATTAGTTTAGACCTATATATATAAAGATTAGAAGTTTAAGAAATGTACCTTTGATAGTGAGATATTTTGTTTTGCTTACAGAAAATGCTACATTGTAAGCTAGACACGTAACATTGACAACTCCAGATGATGTGTAAGAAGTGTTGAATCTGTGGTCCATTGATTTAGAAACATGATTTGCATCGAGTAAAACATTGTTGATGTAGATGGATACTGACGTAGACGGATAACTGTCACTGACGGAACAGCTTCCGTAAATGTCATGGTTTTCATCTAGACATAAATCCAATTCAGCGTTGTTAAGTGTCAAGAAGATATCAGGAGGGTCTGAAATTGACACACAATCAAAGAAAATAAGCTGGGAATCATTACATGCTATACATATAATTTCATAATTTGTGAAATTTTTAAAGATTATATAATATGTTAATCAGTGTTGTTTTAAATTGTTATAGTGCCATCAAATACAAAATCTTAATCCACTGACATTTATAAAAAAGAAAAAAGTATACTTACATGCAATTATTGGCTGATATATTATTACATTTGTAAAATTAAGAATATTTGACACCACACATTGAAATCTCATTTCCGCTGTAATGCAAGATCAAAATGTCATATTAAATATTTTATATTCTAGATAAATTATCTTACATTCTTAAACACATATCTAGGATCATAAAAAAAAAAGTTCCCTTTAACTTAAATATTTCCTTTATTCTTTTCACTTTAACACTACAAAACACATCGTCCAAAATACACCTTGAATCAAACACGCCTCTTACACTTACACTGTCCATAATTCTCCTTACAGCTTCATATTAACAATGCTCTATGCATGTCTTCTTCATTAACATGCGATGAGTAACATTTTCGTTTCATTCATTAAAAATTCGAATTTTCAGTGCATTGTTTAGCAGCCACAAGTTGTTTAATATTTTAAAACAAATATGGCCACCATTCAAAATATGTAGCCAATTAGATAATTCGTTTGATTTACAGAAAATGCCAACGATTTTTTATATTTAAGACAGAAAACAAATTAAAAAAGTTTGCCTACAGCGCTTCGAAAATATACGTATTACTTCACAGCACGTTACCCTCAATAATCAACTTCTGTTTTCCTCCATGTCATGCACATGCCCCATACAGAAAACCATCTTCACATCTCCCTGTATCTATTGCGTACATGCACACTAACAACTTATTATAAATATACGACGCACATTGTATAGATCCTCAAATTGTGGTTAGTACAAAGGCGAAGTTAAGTTCTATTGTTTTAAAATACGTATTAAAAAAAACAAAAATGTATGTAGCATATATATACATTTTTAAAAAGAAAATATGCTGTTGTTATGCATCATTCAGATATTTCTAAATTTAATTTTTTTTGTTTCTTGTCATAATAACCTGTTTAAAATAATCAACGTATTTATTCAATGAAAAAAGCTTTCAATAATTATTGCCATAGCGTCTCCACACAATAACCTAATTCAACTAGAGGGAAAACAAAAGGGCAATCCAGTCATCCAACCAAACTTAGAACTGAAAATAATAAATAAACGTTCTATTTATTATTAAAGTTTATTAACATATGTCCAGCTGGTAAATATTGAGTTTTAATTTTTTTTTAACACTTAATAATGATCACGCCTATATTGCACTAAAAATGAGATTAATGGTTTTCTATATCGTTGAGGAATCAATCCAGACACATTGAACAACAAAATAATATATGTTATTTGTAATTAAATAATTCCTTATAAGAAAATAGTATTAATGTTATTAATCACTTACTATGTGTAGGTCTGCGTGCAGTAAAGTTAAGAGTTCCATCTTTACTGTTACCTGTGGACCACGTGACTTGTGTTGGTAGAAAACTTGTGTTGTTATCGTAACACGTACAGATACTTGTCTCATTCTCTTTGATGAAATCCTTTAAATAACAATTTGTACCAAGCACAGCTTTGGGGTAACCTAAAGATTATTTGTATTCTTATTTTTTTTAAAATATAAACATTTCAATTGTTTCAAGATCATGTTTATTTTAGTTATAGCACCCTGATTTGGATTTTTTTTTACAACTATATTTTATATTCTATTTAATACTCTTTCTTAGGGAGCGCATTTATTATTAATATATTTAATGTATTACATTTTATACAGTTTTCCATGTTAACTTGACGAAAAATTTAAAAAAAATTGTCGACAACTCCAATAGTTATTAAGTATAATTATAGTATTGAACTGAAGGTATGATGAGATATATTGACCTATTGTTATAGGAGAAGTGTATTGACTTGTTGTCTTGATCCGCTCTGTTATATTTGATGTTATATTTGGATACATTTCAGCACGGAACATGTGAGATCCAGGTCCTAGGATGGCAACAGACACGGTGTAGTTACAATTGGTTGTGTAGTATCCAGTAGTGACATTTTGCTGATGCGTGTAGCTGATAGATCCTTGGTCTAATTCATGTTCTGACGACGACTACAGGAATGAATACCGTAGAATATTTTTTTAAACATATATGCAAAATCAAATAATTTATATATTTTTTTGTATATAATACAAATTTTGAAACGAATGCATACTACTTACATGCACAAATTAATTTTTCATTTTGGGAAACCTATTTATAAAACGGTAAAGTTATTGCAGCTTATTGAAAAACTCAAATTTATAATTGAACAAAAACGCATGCATTAAAAAAAGAATCAAGTGTAGCACTATCTTGGCTGCTTATTGGAGTAACTGTTCTGCTCATGATTACACATAAAATATATTAAAATTTTGAAAACGTAATTGGAAAATTCATGTTTTCTTAAGATGTATATTTGTCAGTGCTTAGCATTGTCTTGGTACAATCAACGATAGCATTGCAGATATATCTTTTTGAATTGCCTTTTATGGAAAATATTTTTTTTAAAAATATATCGCAGAAATGTTAAACAAACGTATTTAGAAGAAATACATACAGTGTTACCTCGACACACGGGTGCCCTGAAATACGAGATTTTTGAAATACGAGATGCCGATCGAGCGATGTTTTGCTTTGAGATACGATAAATTTTTGAGATGTGAGGAACCGGATCAGCGGGTCAGCCGGCTGCATCGAAGTAAATTAAGCGAAAATAAAACAAAAAATTGCACAGTGGCATTTAAGTTGAATTTAATTCTGTCAAGTATGGTTAAGTTCCATTAAGTGTATGGATGAAGTGCAGCATTAAGAATGTAACGAGTAGGTGAATTAAAGTGTTTGAAAGAGTTTAGCATTAACAGTGTGGCCAGTAAGTGAACGATGTGAAGATACTTTGTCTGTCTCCTTCACCCTACACCTGCGCAAGCATCTCATGTAAACTCAAGTCGGCTGATTTCGAAAGTAAATTCATTTTATAAATCCAATGCATTTCTTTACATTCTATTGTATTGTGTATTTAATTCAATATGTGTCATGTATAAATACTTTTTTTTTTATTCAAAAAACATGTAACAAAAGCTACCCATTTGGCTTTTTGGGGGCTGGAACGGATTATTAGCATTTATATTAATTACAGTGGGGAACAATGCTTTGACATACAAGCAAATTCACTAACCAGCAAGTTTACGGAACGAACTAAATTTGTATCTCGAGGTCCCACTGTGCATTCAAAAATAAATATTAATCTTTGATGATACTAATTTGGCATTATAATAATTTTCGGATAATAAATAACGTTTTTGTAATAATGTTTAAATAAATAAGGATTATAAAGTATGAAAATTAAAATACAACGAGATCCACTTCAGAAAAAGATAGACTAAAAATGTAACAAAAATTTACTTAGTATTTAGCTCGAACAACAATGTTAATACTTTTCTAAACATAAAAGAAATCGCACATAAAAGGAACAATTCTTTTAGTTATATTAATGAGAAAATGAGTGCCTCTGAAATATTTATAAAATATGTTTCTTTTATTATGAAACTAAATTACATAAACTTCACCTTCATCCCTTATTTTAAATTGATATTAAATTCCATAACGTAATTCTTTAAAAGCCAAGGAAGCATTACATCAACATTGATTTTCTTGTTATAAAAAAATACTTTTTTTTTAAACAGCTACAGAAACGAATGTTAACCTGACCATACGATGGCATGAGAGCATGTGTTTGAAAAATAATAGTCAACTATGGAAGTCTTGAGTTCGTTACTGTAACTTTTGGTAAATTACCATGATAAAACCCTTATTATCTCAAATTTTCAGACGCCCTTAAGTTCGAACATCAATGTGATAAGACCGTTGCTGTTACACTAGACAGCCATAGGAACTTGATACCCTACGCGTCTAACTCTCACTATATATCAGCAGGGGTCCAATTTCAAATAGCATCTATTTAAATGTATATCACAATGCTCAGAATGAAGTTCACATTGATGAGTAATTTGCATTATGATTAAATGAAGATCAGTCACAATGCATCCATGTCCTGAAGAAAAATGACATAAGATCAAAACCTCCCAAACTGACTATTTACTTTAATACAATATGTCTTCTCTTCTACGTCCGTATTCTCTATATTTAGATCTAAGTATCACTATTCTAACATACTATAGTTATTTCACTCGAAGTATACTTTTACATCAAATAGCATTATGTTACATTTACCATAATTAAAAATGCCATTATTTTATACAGACTTTGTTGTGTGGAATGTTTTTAATACACAATTGTCTACACATTAATCTTAGTATATGAATAACTTAAACGTAGCTTTATTGGTTAACACGAAACTGAATTAAAATATAAAGCAAAGTATGTTTGTTTAATAAATAAAATAACCTCATTTGATGTGAAATGATTTCTGGTTAAGTTACGAAAAAATATTTTCGCTCGAAATACTTACGTTGATATATATGTAAAATATGCAGACGCTTCCTGGAAACACTTTCTGGGTGGAGCAACTTATTTGAATGTTGATTTCATTAATAAGTGTCACAGCATTACATGTTGGAATTTCTGCTGCAGCTTGACATAAAAAAAAATAAAATTACCTACAATATAAAATAAATGTTAAATAATGTATACTTTAATTCCATTGTTAAAATTACTTTTAATACCGTGAGATTAGCAGTAGACTCTATTTTTAAGAAATATATCGATACTGTTTACTATATCTTAACTTACCAAAAACATTTAAATCGTATTGTGCTGATGACGTAACACCAAGTTGAGTGTCAGCAAAACAATACCATCTCGTGTGATGTTGTAACGGTGTCACATATTTGATTGTTAAAACACTTATAAACGATGAAGAATTAGATGTTATGTTCGCTGAGTAAAGATCAACAATGCTATTTTTAAAAGGGTCACATTTCGTTTGCAAAAATGGCGAACAGATAAATAGAGTTGTATTTACAGTTTCCATATGTAAATTCCAATATATTGTAGCTGAACGATCTTTTGTTGTGACACACATAAATGTTTGAGATTCACCGGCTTGTATCCATAGGCCCACGCTGATATCTGGAAATAATAGTCTTCATACAAAAGGTATAACATAAAGTTTACAGTTAAAATATCAGTGTTGTGGACTATGTAATTCAAAAAAATGTAACATGCATATAACACTGACTGTGTAAATATTTTAATATCAACGTAAACTGTCTAATAAAAAACAAATGAAAACAGCCATTATTGTTTTTTAATAATGTATACTTCTTTATTCAATTATAGTTTTTTTTTTAAATACTTTGAATTAATTATAAAAACATAGACCTACCGATGAAAAGTGCAAAAGCTAGAATTCTTAAAATCTCACTTTGCATCATTTTCTAAAAAGGTATAAATATCATAATTATTTTTCTATTTAATATATGAATATAAAAATACATAAGCAAAAAAAGTATCGATATAAAGATGTAATGATACGGTATCTTTTTTAGAAAACTTTAACTTACACACAAATAATTAAACGTCTTCATTTTAATATGAAGTATGGCTATGTTTATATATATTTAAAAAAAAAATAATTTTGGTTAGAAATGGTCCTATCATTTTAATTTTTTTTTTTTAAATTTATAAAGAATTGCAGTTTGGGTAAAAAAATGAAAATAATTTCTTAAGAAAGTTATATTTGGTTTCAATTTCTAAATTTAAACACATAAAGTTATGTTTCTTTTTTAAAAATTACTATGTAAAATCCAAAATCAAACTGCATCATACTGTTTTGTGAGCCGTTGATCCTACTGAAATTCTTCGTAGGGAGAGTTGTTGATGGTATGAGAGTTTTTGTTTGTTGTTGATGGTGAGGTCAGAGTGTGAAGTTAGTTCGTGGTGTTGAGCTTTAGTGTATGCTGAGTGTTTAGTTGGGATAAAAAAGGGCTGTGTGTTAGTTAGTCAGGGGGAAATGAGTTAAGAGTCCAGAGTAGATTTTTGGAGTAATCGAATAGTGAGAGATAGTATGTTTGCTAGATTCGCTTTGAAGTTTTTTGCCTGAAGGTACTGTGTTCTTACTAGATGTATTTTTGTCAAAAATGGTCGTTTAGTACATGAAAATCAATATAAAATTTACAATGAACTACTCAGTGTTTGTGTTACTTGACCAAGAGAGAGACGAGAATGAATCAAACAGGCCTGGCATAAGCTTAGACAAAAAATAATCGCCATCGGAGGTATTAGACTAACGAAAGGAGACCGTAACATTTGAAGGAGCACTAGACAACAAAAGAGGCCGGAAAAAATTTTATCTCCCTTTATAAAGAACTCGCTATATTAAACACTAAGGGCACTGTAGGCATTCTATTAGTGTAAAAGCAACAACCATGAAGCTCTCACTAAGCAATTAAAATTAAAGTTTAATTTCAAATACACATATTTAAAAAAAAACCTTATCTTCACACGAAGTAACATGGAAATAATATAAAAAATAGTAATAGTTTTAAGACTCCGACATTAATTTTTGTTAGAAACAAATAATCATGCTTCTAGAATCACCGTGAATCTATAAATAGAAACGACTGTTTTAATCTTTTAAATAAAAACAAAAACAAAAGAAAATCCAATAACATCCTTCAGCGAAAATATTTTACATGTATTTTATAACGCTAGTTTAACTATTGTATTGTATAGTTTTTATTAAAACTCTCAACCAGAAGACTTAAAGTTATAATATATTATTAATTTCTATATCAGTAAATAATTACTGTAAAGGCCTCCCACCTTTCTGAAAAGTTCAGTGTTCCGTAAAACTGCTACCACCACACTAGACGTCTTGTGTCGACATAAACGTGTGTTGGTGTTGACACATGTACATTCCATGGACCATTTTTCTTTTGTTCGGTTTGACCTGAATTCATATACACATGAGTGGCGTAATTGGTTTCGTATGTTATTTTATGCTTAAAAATTGTTCCTATAAGTTATTGTTTAACCTTATAAAAATGACTCTATACAATTTCTAATGGATTTGAAATAATATTTTGGAATGTACGATGGTTGCGAATTTCACTGTTTTAAGGTGTTGTCATACATGTGTGTTTAAATTACAAATACAACCTGAAAATGTGGCATTTCTTTTACCCGTAGCATTACAAAACAACTTGCAATATTCTAGAAGCATATAACATTTTAGATATTGTTGTTGTGTATGGCCTACGTTTCTTGACACGTTTGTCATGGTGTCTTTATGGTGCAGTATTATGATACATTATTAAAATATGAGTGAACAAAATACATAGTTTAAAAGCTCTCAAACAATATAGTATTAAAAATTAACATCGAATTTATTTGTATGATTAAATGAGGAAATCTTGTAACGCCGGAGTACTTTTTCCCCCAACTCCATTACGAAACAAAGTTTGGAATTGTTCTTACTGTGCAATTGCCCCATTAACAGCTTTCCCCCCTCCGCATTCTTCCTTCGATTACATATTTAGACTCAAAATTTAATTGAAATGGACTGCATGATTAATATTGCTGATATTGATAGAGGGTCGGTGAAATAGATATAATAGTTTAAATATGTATTAATGATATTCCAAAATTAATTAATGTGTAAATTTGTGCTATACTCAATCAAGTAACATTCTGAAATGTGCGTAGTTTCTATAACCTTATTGTACTTATCATAAGTAACTCATTTATTCTTTACATAAATGTAATTGATTCTTTTTTTATTTATTTAAAGTATTCTAAACTCAAGCTTTGATTTTAAACATCCTTCATTGGAAATAAAAAGTACACTTTAATTTTTATTATTATTATTATTATTATTATGGCATCCTTCCGTCTACGTGAGACGATGGAGTAGCTATATAGCTCTACACTATGACGAGTGGCTCACTAGGCCAAACCTTCATGATAATCACGGCCGCATCTCTTGCAGGAGAATGTTGAATCCCGGTAAATTCTTGTTTTCCGAATTGTTCTTTTTGATTCGAGGGCCTCGTTTCGAGTAACCTCTGCCTTTTTCACTCCTCCAAACACTGCTGTTCGCCAGTTGGAGCGATGTTCAGCAATGAACTCACATTCGTTTGTTTCAATATTGGCTTCCCTCATGCTTCGTTTGCAAACGTCAATAAATCTCAGGCGTGGTCGACCAATATGTCTTGTCCCCTCTGCCAACTCTCCATACATCAGAAACTTTGGGATACGTCCTTCCTCCATTATCAGTACATGACCTAACCAGCTAAGGTGTCTCTTGATAAGAAAGGAGAATATGCTAAACATGTGTGCACGTTCCAACACCTCCACGTTAGGCACCCTGTCCTGCCAGTGAATGCGCAAAATGCAACGCAGAAATCTTTTATGGAAGCTGTTGAGTTTCCGCTCCTGACTGATTTATGTGGTCTAAACATCACTACCATTTAGGAGCGTGCTAAGTACGCATGCCTCATAGACACTTATTTTTGTTTTATCAGTTAGATTGAGATTATTCCATACCCGCTTATTCAGTTTAGCCATAGTTGTTGCTGCCTTTGCGATTCTAAAATTGAGCTCTTCATCACTGAGAGCGAACTAGAAATATTGGATGCCGGGTATATGAAATGATCAACAGCCGAATGATTATGACTCTCAATAGATATGATTGGAGGGGACGATGCTTCTTGCATCATTACATGAGTTTTCTGTAGACTAATCGAAAGACCAAAGTCCTTACAAGCATGTGATAGGCGATTAACCAGCCCCTGCAGACCTTCTTCTGTGTGAGATGTTAAGGCGGCATCTGAAGCGAACCGCAAATTACAAATCAGCATCTTTTTTACTTTGGTCTTTGCACGAAGGCGGGCGATATTGAAAAGTCTTCCATTAGATCTTGTGTGGACGTACACTCCATCTTCACAGTTACTGAAAGAAAATTGAAGGAGCATCGAAAAAAAAATTTGAAAAGAGCGTTGGTTCCAGTACACAATCCTGTTTTACTCCACTGCTAACTGGAAATGACTCAGATACAGTGCCACTGAAATTTACTATGATGTACATGTTTTTGTGAAATGACTGTATTAGTTTGAGCAGTCGTGGGGGACAACCTATTCTTTGCAGGATACTGAAAAGACCTCTTCGACTTACCAAGTCAAATGCGTTGCTCATGTCTATGAAGGCAATATAAAGCGACATATGCTGTTTGCGACATTTCTCCTGCATTTGGCGTAGCGAAAATATCATGTCTATTGTTGAGCGCCCACTCCTGAAGCCAAACTGGGACTCTGGGTAGATTCGGTTCGCCAGACTCTGCAATCGATTAAGGGCAACCTGGGCAAAAGTCTTTCCAACTAAGCTAAGGAGAGAAATACCTCGGTAGTTATTGCAATCCCTTCGGTCCCCTATATTTTTATACACTTTAATAAGTAAATAATTATAGTAGTAATGATGTCAATGAATCGTGAAAACTGGGTTTCTGTGTATTTTCTTGACATTTTTTTTTAAATTATTATTTTTTTTTTTTTTATTTGCGAAAAGAATTTATGACCAAAAATGGATGATTGGCGATAAGAAATAATTCAAAGGCCTCATTTTATTCTGCGGACCTATTAATTAATATAATTTAAGTCTACATTATCTCAATCTGGTCTTTCATATGCAGTAATTATATAATATATATAAACTTGGTAACTGTGTCCTGTCTTAGAATAAATGTGTTTACATTAAAATGTCTTTAATTTATTTTCAAGAAATAAAAAGGGTTTCGCAAATGCTAGATTTTTTGTACAAGAACGTTCGGATTGTATTCCTATATCATAACAGTCAGATTTCATAGCAGCTAGAATTAACGACACTTATTTCGATATAGACTCTGCCAGACTTATAAATATGTTTTTATTAGTGTGTTTATATAGTAATGTTTCTATGTGAGGGATTTACAATTTTTTTTCTTTGATGCAAATAGATACACTTTTTGTTTGTGTACCAAAATTTGGATTGGTATATAATTTGTTCATAGAACTTTGTTAAAAAGTTTTTTTTACTGGCTTTAATATTGTTTATATTTACATACTGTTTGATCCTTCGTTAGTTTGGAATTGTTTCTTCTCTGAGCCAACTGTTAACGCAGATTTATTCTTTTTAACCGAAATGGTTATTCCTTCATTTAAAATTGTGTTACATTGATTTTAAATTGAATCTCTGTTCACTCACTTGATGAGCAATACCTATTAAATAAAATTAAACCAGAAAGAAAGAAAGATATCAAAGAAAATGATAAAAACAATCTAATTATAAAAATGTTGGACTGCGGTAAAGCCTTAAAAATTAATTAGAATCAAACCACCTGTGCCAAAAAGTATGTTCTAAAGTTGCATAATATATATATATATTTATATACTCACTGTATCCTAG